TGCTTATCTAACCTCCTCTTGAAGACCCCCAGGGTAGGGGAGAGCACCACCTCCCTTGGGAGCCTGTTCCAGACCTTGGCCGCTCTAACTGTGAAGAAGTTCTTCCTAATGTCCAATCTAAATCTGCTCTCTGCTAGCTTGTGGCCATTATTTCTTGTAACCCCCGGGGGTGCCTTGGTGAGTAAAGCCTCACCAATTCCCTTCTGTGCCCCCATGATGAACTTATAGGCAGCCACAAGGTCGCCTCTCAACCTTCTCTTGCGGAGGCTGACGAGGTCCAGGTGCCCCAGTCTCTCCTCATAGGGCTTGGCCTGCAAGCCCTTAACCATACGAGTGGCCCTTCTCTGGACCCTCTCCAGGTTATCCACATCCCTCTTGAAGTGCGGCGCCCAAAATTGCACCCTGTCCCACCCCCTCTTATTATTTAGGGATAATATTTGTATGTACATTGATCTTGGTTGTATCACTCTTTGTTTTATTATTTATTTGTACTGCAATACCTCCTGTGAGTTCCAGTAACAGATCAGGACCATTGTGCTAGGTACTGCATATCACAGAAGAAAAAAATATATAGTCCTTTAGTTCTTAGAAAAGACGCAAATCACCTCAAAGCAGGTATTTGCTCCTTAACATCCAGACGCATTACCCAGGCCAGCGTTACAGGATCTGAGTACCTCATGGTTGCGAGTGGATGTTAGCTTATGGCCCTGCTGGGAGACAGGAGGGCCTCAACCCCAATTTACAGAAGAGAAACTCTGAGGCAGGACAAACTAAAGACTGGCTACAAAAAAAGACTGGTGTGCTTATGATAAAGGGCTTGGAAAACAAGTCATATGAGGAGACGTAGAAGGACTAGGCATGTTCAGGTTGCAGAAAAGGTGCTTAAGAGGGGACATTATAGCAGTCTTCAAATACTTGATGAGCTGCTATAAAGAAGAGGGAAAGCATCTTTTCTTCCTTGCTGCAGAGAGGATGTGGAACAGTGGGTTGATGTTGCAGCAAAGTATGTTTCTGGAAAAACTTCTTCACTGTTAGAATAGTGAGGCAGTGAAATAGATGCCCCGGGGAAGTTGTGGATTCTCCAACACTGGAGGTGTTCAAGCAGAGGTTGGACAGCCATTGGATAGGGATGATCTAGGCATAGCTATGCCTACGTTCTACTATGGGTATTTCCCATGCTTCTTGGCTTTTCTGCTTGCCTCTTTCCCCCCTTTCTGCTACATGCATTAGGGCATTTTTAAGCTTCCCTCAGAGGCATTGGGTGTTGGCCACAGCCAAGTCTGGAGATTTTGACAGAGGTGTGCCAATGTTTCTGATGGAACCAAAGCCAGTGGTCCCTGGCCCCTCCATTCATGTCACGCTGATTGCCATATTGACTGGTCAGGAAGGAATTTTATCCCATGGTCAGATTGGTATGGACTGTAGGGGTTTTTGCCTTCCTCTGTAGCAGGTGGCATGGGCCTCTACCTGGGATCTCTTGAGCATATATTGACAACCTTGTATAGAAGTAGGACATTGACTGCCATAGTTCCTTTGTTTTGCCTATGGCAGATTAGGGGTGTTATGTCTTTGTTGTGGCAGTGTTGATGGTAGTATTGAGGCTGGGGAAAGGTATGACGATTGCTCACAGGTGGCAGCGGCAGTAGTGGCAGTGGGGGCGTGGTGGTGGGGAGCAGGGGTGGCAAGCACCTACCGGTCGTTGGCAACCACCCGCAGACACCACCGGCAGTGTTGACGGCAGGGGTGGGGTGGCGAGTGGCAACTGCCGGCAGCGTTGACGGTGCATCTATCAGGGGGTGCACTGCCAATCTCAGGGGGTGCACGTGCACCTGCATGCACCCCCTATGCGTTGCCAGTGGTTGCACATTGCCACGCTAAGGGCACTTAAAAGGTGAGCATCTACACGCTAAAGCTCGTTAACTCATGCTAAGTACCCTGTGACCATCTCAAAGTTACACCATTTCAGATGAGGGTTAGCTGTGGGTTGTGTTACCTATTTCACCTGAGGGTAACTTTAGTCTGCTCTGCAAAGATAAAATGAGCAATTTGCAGTTCCCCAGTATCCCAGGATGCACTGCTCCTGGCCTCTTCCCACCCCCAGAGCTGGGACAGAGCCCAGGTATCCTGGTTTCTGTTCAACAGCCCTCTAATGGCAAGTCAGAGGTGTTCAGGAAAAAAATGGTACTAACCCTTAATGTATGACTGCCTGCAGCCCATTCTAACTTTAAAATGGCTTAACATTTCAGAGATTTAGTATGGTCTAAGTGTCACGTGTAACTTCACCCTATGAACAAAAGCTTTTTTGTACACAAATGCATTCTGTGCTATGTAGTTGGTTCAATAAAAGATATCACGCAGAAAAATTCTTGCCTCCCACATATTTCCTGGACCATCTTAGCTACAATATCACTTCAACACTACGCAGACTGGACTGAAGTTCAACGGAAAATAGGCAAATTCTGCTGAGACTGGGAACTACTTTTGCCTTGTTGTAGACTATTTTAAAGGGAAGATAGTGAGCATGAGTTGCTAACAGAGAAGGGATGGAGTTTGTGGTTATACATTTTTGCAATAATTTAAGCAATAAGCAGACTGAAGAATTAAGTCGCTAGTTTGCTAAAACAGTAATGAGACAAGCAGTGGCAAGGAACTGGCACAATTACGTTCTATGGAAAGATCTCTGGGGGTGCTTTACATGTAGCATGCTTGGACTCATGTTGATGGATGTTTTACACATATTATTTTCATTGCTTATTCCATCTGTTTAGACTTGTAGACTGCAAAAGGCAGGCACTCTGGATCCCACAAGCTGGGAGCTCGGCTGTTGGAGCCAACAGCTGAACAGCCTCCTCAGAAGATCTTCATTGTCACTCACTGGATGCATCTACATGTGCAATTAGCATGTAGCAAACTCTGGTACAGTTTGCACTGGAGTTTACTGCTTCCAGGCACAGAGTTTACATGTGCATCTGAGACCACAGCATGTCGAGCTGCGGCAGAGCAGCTCTGGCTGGCAGGGGGTCCAGAGCGTCAACCTGCTAGCCTGGGGCTGCTCTGCCCCAGCTCAGTGTGCTGTGGCAGGGCTGGCTGGGGCAGTAGGGTGCTTCAGTGTGAGGCTAGCCAGCAAGCAGCTCCTGCACTGTAGCACCCTGGTGACCCAGCCAACCCTGGTCACTGTCTCTGTGTTTTGGCTACAACTACTCTGCTGTAGGATAGTACTTGTCCCAGACATTACTATCCTACAGTGGAGTTAATTTACTGCACCCTAATATGGGTGCATGTGTCAATGGTTATGCTTTACTGTGGAGCTAATTAGTCAGCTCTGCAGTAAAGTGAACGTGTAGATGCACCCATTGAATTTTACCCTTCTCTGTTGGGAGTGAAGGAAAAAAGAAGAGCTTTCTGGGAAGTCTTCTGGGGCTAGCCCAAGAGCCACAAGGCGGGAGGTTCACATTACTGACCTACGTTCTGCTCTCTTCTGTCTTTTGTGGCTGAGATCACACCTGCAACACAGGAGAAGAAAAAGTGAAAAAAATTGCTCGTGTTCCTCAGAGAAATCTTAGAAAGTTACCTTATATACCAGCCTAAATGAAGGCTTAATAAGACCCATGGGCATAGTGAGCTGCTGCAGTGCTCTGGGCAGAGTGCCAACCACTGGAGAGCCGGTGGGGGGAGAGGGTCTTACCTGTCCCAGCTCTCCTCACATTGGCAACAGCTTGTGTATAAATGCCCCTTGAGTACAGTTCCCTGGTTGACCTTGGGCAACTCACTTTGAGCTACATGCAGAAAAGTATTGCAGTGCTACATCTGTATTTTAGATCTTCAAAACTCTTGCGCAGTTGCTTGACACATCTAAGGTTTTTCCAGTGAAGATAGCTAAATGTTTGATTCTGGGCATACCCAGAACTGCCTAAACCTTTACAGAGCCATGTAGCTGGGTGCTTAGCTCATACCTGTCTCCTTAGGACCCACACACGAGACATGCCTCTATCTTGCCTGCAGGTTGTGGGGCTAGATCAGAGGCACTCTCAGCACAGGGTTAATGGACTGAGCACTACACAAAACATAGGAAGAGGCATTTGTGCCTCCATTGCTTGCATAAAAAATCCTAGTGGTAAGAGCACTTATTGAGAAGGAGACACATGTTTAGTGCCCTGAGGGAATTCGCACCCACAGCTACCACCTGTTAGGAGAGGGCCCTGTTCACTAGGCAATAGGCCAGGGGTCAGCAACCCCTGGCACACATGCTGAGCATGGCACGCAAAGCCATTTTGCTTGGCACACCACTGCCAGCCTGGGCTCTAAGCAGCTGCAGCCAGCCCACGGAGCCCAGGCTGCTCCCAGCAGGCACCTGGAAGGCTGCAAGTCCTGCTGCCAGCAGACCGGGCTCTGTGGGCCGGCTGCAGCTGAGAGGCTGCAAACAGCTGCTCTGGGCTCCAGTATGTCGGCACTCTGGCACCTTCCAAGATAGACATTGTGGTTTTTTGTGGCACTCCAGCCAAAAAACATTGCCTACTCTTGCTATAGGCTATTCTGCAGTAAGGCAGGGTGGGGTGAGGGTTCCTATCAGTCCCTTCTGCTGAAGCTGTTCTACAGCAGAAGAAAATATTCACTGGACCAAAGAGTGGGCCTTGTTACACATTAATATTAGGTGTCTCTGGGAGCTCTTAACCCCTGGATTGTCCACACACACAGACGTGTAAACTAGATTTATGCACCCCTTACACATCTTAAAGTTGCACCATTTCAGGGGAGGTTTCTTTCTGATCTGTGTTACCCTGCTTGTGTTCCAAAATGTGTGCCCACTCCTCCGAGATAGACCACTCAAGTTGCATCCTCCAGCATTGCAGGATGCAGTGTCCTCTCCCCCACCCTCTTGTTCTGTGTGGACAAACTTTCATACCCTGGACTCTGCTGCCCAGGGGGGGTTTATACTCTCCCCCTTCCAGCCTCCTGCTCCACCCCGTGCCAACCCATTTGTTCAATCCATCCCCACGTAAAGCAGGGATAGAAGCCTGTCCTGGCTCACCAGCCCTCCAGTGGCAAGTCACAACTATGCAGGTTGTGGACAGTCAGAGAAGGTTTTTAGCCTGAATGTATGACTGCTCTAAACTCAAGCTAACACTGATACCGATCAACATTGGAAAATCTCAAGGTGCAATGTTTAACAAAGGCCACAGAAGCATGTGGCACCCTGCTGCTGGTGAGACTACTTACCTTAGGGATGGGCAACCACTGTCCAGGCCACCCATTTCCTCAGTCACTGCTATTTGTGTTGGCCAAGTAGGTTTGTTACTGCCTCTCCCACTGCATTTTGGTAATATTAACTCTTTGCAGCACAGAACAGTAGTAGGGGTTGTATAAATGACTCAAAGATAAATAAACTCAATGGCCAGGGTTGACATGGGATTTGAAACAAGGCCCATTATTTGGGATTTTAAGTAGGACTCCTATCCCAAAAGTCTGACTCCCTGAAGGTATTTTGGAGACGTGGGAATGAGGAATCTAAATACTTATCAGGTTATGGGCCAAAGTTGCCGAGCTGTGGGCAGGCAGACCTCTGCCTCTGTGTCCTGCAACTTGAGCCAGTCGTTCCAAAGCCAAAGTCTCCATTGCCACGTTGTGGTTGTCGCACCCACTTCCTCAATGGTGCAGATGGGCAGGAAGCTCTGCTCTGTTTACTGAAGTGCTCCAGTGCACAGCAGTCTTTTCATATTTCTATGAAAATGAATCTAAAATGGTGTGGGGGACTTGGACACAACGTAAAGGTGCGTGCTAATCTGCAATGTGTCAACCAAGTATTTATACTCCATGGCCATGCCCTCATTATTCCTGGTTTACAAAAATTTGTAAGAGTGAAAGGTTCTTTGTGACTATTTGAACATAAGATTGGCAGGGATCTCCCGGGTCACTGAGTCAAGCTGCCCATTCCATACATGGGATGTCTCCTGGCATCATGCAGAAGTCCCATAATTGTGACCATTATCTCTGCCTGCTGCTGTGTGAGCTAAACCTCTTGCCATTTCAGACATGTGTCTAAGATAGGCAAGGAAGGATGGATTGTTCTGTGTGTATACAACGCTGCAGAACATCAGGGGTTTCCAGGGCCATGGAACACCATAAGAGGCTCAGATACTTTCACAGATTTGGCTTGGCAAGCATGAGAGGGAAAGTACAACAAAACGGTAATAATAAAGATGCTTCTTGACCTCTGTGGCTTTTGAAAATCATAACGTGAGGACTAAAATCAGTTCTTTGTTACTCAGGCTCAAGAGTACAAAGCCAGAGAACACGGTTATTAGCCCTAGATGTGTTTATATATAAAACATATTGGATCTATGTAGCAAGTGGAAGAGGGGACCAGGAAAAAAAATCAAACCCTTCTGGAACAGACAGAATTGGATGGAAAAAAAATAGGGGGGTGCATATAGTCCATCTACATTATTACATGCAGATACACATTTTCTGTTTTCCGCTGAAATGAGTTCAGACAGCAATGAGCTCTTCTGATTATGCACAGATGCCATACAGAACAGATTTTACATTATGGACAATTTGCTAGCTTGTTACCCTCCTTTTTTTCACTTCCATCAAAATTTGCTGTGTGCACTGCCTTGTCCTCTACATGATTCATTGTTCTGAAATAATAGTGACACGTATACCTGGAATCACCTCTGCTGTTTTGATGATTGTATTCATAGACACTGCACCTTTAATAAATGCCAATTTTGAAGAAAATTTCTCACTTCCCTGCTGTATGATCATCACATATAAACTCTTCTTGCAGACAACCATATCCTAAACCTAATCAAGCTCCTTGTTAAAAAAATGATTAGCTTGGTTGCTTCAATCACTCCAAAAGCAAAGGTGTTCAAAGACCTCATGCTCTGGTGAGGAGGAGCCTTCTTTTCATTCCCAGCCTTAGTTGATTCATAGCCAGTTTATCCTCATTTTTTCTTGTGCCAACATTGTCCTTTAACTTAAAGAGCCCCTTTCTTTCCTTGGTTTGTTCTTTTCTTTCTCCCTCCTTGCCCTTCTTAATATATTACTGGAGGGCAATCAAACCACCTCTCAGCCTTTGCTTTGCTAGGCTAATCAATACAAACTCATTTCTCCTCTCCTAAAATAGTCTCTCTGCTCCTTAGACCACCATGGTAGCCCTTCTGTGCATCTGTTCCAATATAAATTAAGACTTCTTGAAACACTTGAAATGTGTTTTGTAACAAGACAGTATTAATCCAGAGCAGAATTCTTTCTTCTTCACAGGTTCTTACCCCACATCTATCTGAGATAGAGCTGAGTGCCTTCTAGCCATGCATTAAGCAATGCAGCTAACATCTGCCACTTGCCCTTTCTTCTCTCTTCTTGGGAAGAACTGAATGAATCATGTATTGTTTTATTTTGTTTTGTTTTGATGTGGTTTGGGGTGGTTTGGTTTTTTTCTAAATGTACAAGCTGCCTTCTGGGCTCAGAGCCCTTGGGTCATATTTTCAAACTTTCCCCCACAACCTTAAGGGCAAGAACCTTAGGGGTTTTTTAGAAATGAAAGTGGAGATTCGCATATAATCACTTGATTCCATGGGTTGGAGCCTTGAGAAGAAATGCCACATGTGGGGAGAGTTGTGACAAAATTGGGAGAGTTCAGCACAGCAGAACCCAGCTTTTCTGGTTGAGATTTCTCAGGCAAGGCCTTCAAGGAAACATTTTCAATGACATTAACATTCCCTGACTGCTGCCATTGCTCCTAATCGCACAGATTTCCTCTCATTCTCCATCATAAGAAACAAAGACCAATGGATTTGATGTCATCATCCCCAACTTTGTAACAGCTATGCTCACTTGTTCAGGAAACATAACCCAAACCCCATGACCAAGGTGATCAACTACAGCAGAGGCGAACAATTATTTCGGGGGGAGGGCCGCTTACTGAGTTTTGGCAAGCCATCAAGGGCCACATGACAGGCAGCTGGGGCACATAAATATTAATTTTCAAAATTTTTTAGGGGCTCTGTGGGCGGAATAGACTGGCTTGGTGGGCCGCATCCGGCCTGCGGGCTGCATTTGCCCACCCCTGAACTATACCGTAGTGGTACCAGACAACAAATAACAAGGTGAACCTGTTGGTGGATGACTCATGGACTGTTTTCATCCTGGGGAAAAGAGCCAAGAGCCGCCGATTGCAAACTAATTAATACAACTTATCCTTATTATTTCCTGGATATATTATACACCACCACTAAGGAGTCCCAATTATGGACCAGAACCCCATCTACTCATTACTGTATGTATACAAAATGAAAAGATGGTCCCTGCTTGAAATGGCTTCCAAGCTAAGCCCAAGACAGCAGATCACCACAGGCAGATGAGGGAGCAAAAGGAAACAATGAGAAGTTATTGTCAGTGATGAGCAGAGGATCTTAGCATACCAGCAGTCTAACCATCATTAAGCTGTTTGGAGGCAATAACAAGTAATTAGGAAACGTGGGAAGAATTCATTGTGCAAACCAAAGAAGGGGCAAAATTCATCAGGTCAGTTGATCATTAGACAGGTCTCTCTTTTGCTACAGGACCTGCTGTACATCCTTTTGCTCCACCACAGCATGTGATGAAGACCCATCAGGAAGGCCACACATTAAAATACTGCGGGGTCCTTTCCACTTGTGCGACTAGCTCCTGCAAGGACTTCACTTCCAGGATTCTGCCCGTCTGATGTGAAACATCTGGCCTTGGAACATTCATTTGGACCACTGTTCATGTTAGGGCCAGCACTCCTGGATTGCCAAGCCAGGAGGGACTATTAGATCTCATGATCTGAGCTGTTGCCTTGCATCCAGCTCCCTTGACCTTGACACAAGAAAGATGGTTGATTACCAGGAAAAAACACCTACTGGACACCCCAGCTGCCCAGCAAAGCCCTAGAGGGACTCCAAGTATATGAATGATCAAGATATTAATGGCCTGCTGGAGCAATGTCCCTAAGAAACATTGAGAGTGGATCATTTACACTGGCCTCTGGTATTGAGTATCAGAGCATCTCACAATCTTCAGACAATTTAACATCCATCCTGGGTAGGGCTGTTCTGTCTTCTCTCCTGTACAGACAGGGATGTGAGACACACTGCAGCCAAGGGCACATCTCCCCAGCAAAAGGTAGAAGTCTTCGTAGCACCAGCTGGGGTAGTACCTGAGCTGAACTGGGCTACCGTGGGTAGCAGCAGTGTGGGTGTTAGCATGTGCTAGCAACCAGAATATACACCTGAGGTCCCTGGAGAGTCTGTTTCCTGGTTGCTAGCACATGCTAATACCCAAGCCACCATGTCTTCATGCTATTGACCTGCCCCAGTTACTCAGTTAGTACAGGTAGGCTAGCATACACTACAGCCACATACCTCTGTTCTGCCATGTAGATGGTAGACTTACCCCAGATCACATAAGAAGCCTGCAGCCACTGCAGGGGATTGAAACCAAAACCAGGTCTCTAAGCTCTAAATCCAGAGTCCTGACTGCTGCGTGACTTTTCTGCTCTTTCATTTGCTTTTGCGGTTGAGAAGTACAGTGTCCAATAGCAGTAGCATAACTAGGGTGGGATGAATGGGGCACCTGCCCTGGGTGCAAATTTAGTGGGGTGCCAGCAGCATCCCACAGTGCTTGGCACCCATCCCACTTCCATGCTCTCTGGTGCTCAACAGCATCTCTTCCCAGGGCACTGAAATTGTTAGTTATGCCTCTGTCCAGCACCAAAAATAAGGACTCTGCTCTGGGTAGGCAAAGAGCTAGAACTTCCTCTCCCTCCCTCCTCACCAGGAGCACAAAACAGCCTCTAGCTTTCTCTCCCCCAGGCTACACAATGGTGTGCAAGCCCGAGACTGAGTGCCTCTGCTGTTACATTTGGGTCCTGTTGTGACAGAAACATATTTGCTTTGTGCAAGCAGATGTAGAAAGATTTGAAAAATGGAAGGACACCAGGCGACAAAGCTTAGGAATCACTGAGTTGGGTGTTAATTTTTTAATATGCCCACCCAGGACCAGGGGCAATTATTGATATTTTAGTTTAGAGTTCACATTTATCAAGAATCCCCACTTAGATTCATTTAACTATGACTGTAAGAAGCTAAAACCCCATTAATTTAAGGATGATAGGATAAACCTACCTGCAATCAGGACTATAATCCAGAGCTGTGCATGTGGTACCAGGAGCCTCTTGCACAAAGTAGCCATAGTTACTGCAGACAGGAGAAAAACATCAAATCTCCAGCCCTTGTGTTGCTTCTGCAAAAACCTTGCGAACTCTCCGCTTGGCCTCTTCTGCAGACTAAAAATGGCAAAGCTTTTGTTATGCAAGGTAGGCCTTTCCTGTTAATGTAAATCTGGCTCTAGTGGTACTTCCCCTGGGGCCTGGTTTTGAATATGGCACAGTCTCTACTGTAGGCAGTGGCTCTCCAAGAGGAACCTCCTTCCCAACCCACCAGGTCAGGCTGAGGGGTAATGGGCAAGAAGACATAAGTGCATCTGAACTAGTGTCACTCAGGTCTGTCCAACACAAAGCTGTGTTGACACACTGTGTTGCTTTTTGATGCCATAGGTTTGCATGTGTCTGCACAAATATGGTGTAAGATAGCAAAGCCCCAACTGTCTCCTTCATCAAACCATCACACTGAACAACTCAAGCTCCCCACTAACACACAGACTGTGGCAAAATGCCAGCACAGTCATATTCCACTGACAGTAGTGTTGGCAGCTGCAAGCTGACAAAAGTCCTGATGGCAAAACTTTCCAGTGTTTACTTAGCCATATGGCGCAGAGGAGGGGTCATTCACATTGTTCTCAGACCCAGTGGTCCAGCTCCTCCTTCACAGTCCACAAGATTAATCTTGAGCCACAGCAGCATTAGAGAGAGCGGTGTCTCAATCCCTAACACTATTTCCAATGGGTCATCTAGGATAGTGGGCACTTCTCCCTGCTTTGTGCAAGCTCCTGGGCATTCCGCATCGCCTGCACTGGCCTCATGTTGATGGTATGCTGGGGACAGGGCTCAGCTCTGTGTTCATAGTTTTCCTCCCAACTAAAGCCAAAGAATCAGGTTAAATCTCATCCAGAGCTTGAACTTGAGTACCAATAGTAGGAGTCTCTTTTGATAACTGGAAGCAGCAATTGGCATTTGTCCTAGAACTGCTTGGATGTGTGATGTACAGCTCACCCACTCAGTCTGGTGCTCTGGTCTGTTTTGGTGGTGGCTGGACCACAAAAAAAGGCTGGTGTGAGTGCAATAGGGAAACAGCACAGACAGTGGGTGCTCAAGACTTATAACTGAAAGCTCACAAGTTCAGCCCACACCTCTTCTGACCTGCCCAGTGTCAGGAGTGGTGGCAGAAGAAAGATGGAGCTGAGTGAATCCTTTGAAACTTGTGAGTCCCTGTATATGGTCCCATACTCTGAGAGGAGGAAAAAGCAACTACCACTTAGGGACATGATTTGACATGGGCTCCTCTACAACTGCAACTTCCCTCTTTTGACTGTGATACTCAGGGTCCAGAGGGTGCCTGTGCTGCAGGGGCTAGAGAGCCCTCTCTTGGATAGTTGGTGAATTGAAGGATTAACACTGCCCAGTTTTGTATCAATGCACTCCAAACTTGGCACATCTACATGTGCAATTAATTTGAAGCAATAAACTCTGGCGTAATATGCACCAGGGTTTATTGCTTCGGGGCACCGTGTTTGAACATGAGTCCAGGACCACAGCACGTTGAATTGGGTCGGAGCAGCCCTGACTGCTGCCACCCTGGAGTTGCTCTGCCCTGGCTCAGCGTGCTGTGGAGGGGCTGGCTGGGGCACAAGGGTGCTCCAGTACGGGGCTAGCTGACAGACAGCCCCACACTGAAGCACCCTTGTGCCCCAACCAACTCTGTCAGCGTCTACACATACATTGCTATGCACTAAAAAACTCTGCTGCAGGATAGTACTTATATTTACAAGTACTAACATGGGATGGAGTTTATATTTAGTTTACTGTGACATAACAGGGCCACAAGTATAGACGCTGAGGTGTTTATGGCAGAGATAATTAGGTAGCTCCGCAATAAACATTTCGTGTAGATGTGCCCACTGGTGTTGAAACTACTGCTAATGAGACACGGGAAGTACAGGAGAGAGCCAGACCGTGAATAGTGTGGGCCTGAAATGCAGCTCAGGAAGCACCTGTTTAGGACCAGTTTACTCACTAGCAGCCACAATGGAAAGGGCTGGCCCCAGCACTGACTTAGCATGGCCAGCTTTTAGGATATCTGTAAAGCTCCAGGTCCTGGACTCAGGTGATTTAATGAGAATCTCAGCTTCCTTCTTCTGAAAAAGAAAGCTTCTATACCTCTTGGCTGTGAAGAAAAGCTTGAAACTATGACTGCTGGGGTACCTGAGGGCAAAGAAAAAAAAGGTATTAAACCCCTCCCCTGCAATATTTAAGCCAGTTGGGATTCCTGGCTTGCAATTTTTGAACACTTTGTGCTGCCACACCAGTTCCGTCTCTTAAATGTGGCACTCAGACATCCTTTGAAAAATCAAGTAGTCACTTGACCATTTAAAATGAGGGAAGACAGTGTTAAGGTTTAAAGCATAGCTAACTGTGCCCCAGGTGCAGTACCTTACCAATGTGGTTACACTTTACATCAAAAAAAGATTATTATATGTTGACTGCTCTGATTCATAGCATGGATGTATCAGAAAGAGTTTGGAGCACCAGGCAATAAAATGCATTTATTGTGCCCCTTTGACTCCCTTCACCTACTCTCAGTTCCCCGCTCCTGTTCCTAGGGGATTGCTCCAAGCAATCTACATTTCCTGTTTGTTAGCACATTGACAACAATGGTGCAATGGAAATGCAAAAAACCCCCAAAAGTAAGGGTTGAGAGAGAGAAAAAAAATGCTCATTGTTATTAGAGGCCCTGGGCAGAGACCACTGAAGTGGGATATTGGAAATATCTGAATGATGTTCCTGGCTCTTCCATAAGTGTGTTGGGTGACTTTGAGTAAGTCACTTCCCCAACCCATGCCTCAGTTTCCACATCTAATTAATGGTGACAGTGGTACGGATTTCCTGAGTAATGGTCTTTGAGATCTACTGGTACTTGTGAACAGCACCTGGTATTGCTGTTTGTACTGTGGTTGTGCCTAGCAGTCCCAGTTCTCAACCAGAAGCCCATTGTGCTAAGCACTGTACAGCAGTTAATGAAGTCCCTTCCTCAAAGGGTCCATTGGTAAGTTGTGCACACTGGCTGGGGCTGGGCCAGCAAGTGCAGGCTGGAGCATGGGCAGGAGAGGGCAGGGCTTGGGCCCATGCAGAGCACTGCAAGGGCAGCTGCAGACCACACTGCTCAGGGGAGCTCTGCTGCATGCCCCCCGCTCCTCCCTCTCTCCCCTCACCCCCAGCCAGCTCCTGGGATCCAGTGCCAAAGCACCCCACCCCAACAGGGCAGGGGCATTCAGGGAGCAGATTACCTGTCCTGCTTCCAAACACCACTTCCCACCTGCCCGCATAGGGAGTGTTGGTACGTTGTTGGACAGGGAAAGGGGGTGCTGACCCTTCCTGCAACAGCTCATTAGAACTCCCTATGTGGTCCACAGGCCCAAATAATTGCCCACCCCAATCTAACCAGTTAAATGCTGACACTGGTACCCTTACACAAGCTACAATCACACCTCTCCCTGCAGTGGAGAAGGTCTACCAACCTGATGTGTCAGCGGGTGGATATGGCTAGACAGACAGACAAAACACAAGGAAACAATGAGACACCATCTTTCAGTATGATCAGCAGGTGCTTCTAGCACCCCAGCTGCATGCCACCAAAGGGGCACATTTGTGCCTGAGCATGGTGTGTAGGTGTTTCCTGCATATCGTGCTGTCTCAACTCAGCCTCTTGCAGTGACACTTACATCTTGCGATCCCTTGGAAATGTAAAGGTTACAGTGCAGAGCAGCATGGTCATCACATGTGCACAGATATCACTTGGGATCACTGTCAGAGACAGGACCCTGACCTGGATGGATGCTGCTATGCAATAGCTCCATGTCCCACGTTGAGTGCAGCCTTCAGGCTGCTGCAGTCACCAAACCAAACCACCACAAGCTGTT